ACACCCGCTCCAGCTCCTTTTTGGTTTGACGCTCCGTCTACCCGCAACTGCCACGTGTCTCCAAGTTGGCTAGGTCCAGCGGAGGTCCCATCTGCTCTTGAATTTTCCTTGTTTTTGTTGACCAATTTCTTTTTTTCGGCTGATGGGGTGAACTCTACTACGAAGTCTGCTAAAACCTGGGCTTTTATTGCAGCTTTTGGCCGGTAGATGAGGTCATATTGGCTTAGCTCTATAGCCCACTTCATGAGTCGTTGAGAAGCGTCAGGGCTATGCAGGATTGATCTCAAAGGAAAGTCAGTCATGACGATGACTCGATGAGCTTGGTAGTAGGGTCGTAGCTTTCTCGCGGAAACTACAAGAGCCAAAATGAGTTTCTCCAATTTTGGGTAACGAGTCTCTGCATCGAGGAGAGCTTTTGACGTGTAGAATACCGGATGTTGGGCCCCCAGCTCTTCTCGAATGAGAGCTGAGCTGACAGCTGAGTTGGACACTGCCAGGTACACGAACAAGTCCTCACCAAGGACTGGCTTTGAGAGCAGGGGTGGTGAAGTGAGATAAGTCTTCAAACTCTGGAAAGCTACTTCGCACTCCTCATCCCATTTGTCTCTTTGTCCTTTCTTCAAAGCTTTGAAGAATGGTTTGCACTTGTCGGTTGATCTCGAGAGGAATCGGTTGAGGGCCGCTGCTCTGCCCGTCAGACTTTGTATTTCCTTCACTGTGGAGGGCGACTTCATCTCGAGAATAGCTTTAATCTGACGTGGGTGTGCCTCGATACCTCGTTGTGTGACTAAGTATCCCAAGAATCGGCCGGAGGATACACCAAACGTGCATTTACTAGGGTTCAACTTCATGCGATATTGGCGGAGCAGGCTGAATGCCTCGGCGAGGTTTTTGAGGTGATCTGCACGTTTTGGGGCCTTGACCAGCATGTCGTCCACGTATACCTCCATAGTTTTCTGCACTCTTTTAATTTGTTTTGTTAAGTTAACTTAAAAACATTTTATCCAACGGAGTTTGAACATACAGGAAATGAAGATCCAAGGTGTCCTAGAGGACAAATTAATGCTTCTGAAGGGTGTGAGTGGTGCTTTCAGGCCAGGTGTTTTGACAGCTCTGATGGGAGTGAGTGGTGCTGGTAAAACCACTCTCATGGATGTACTGGCGGGTAGGAAAACTGGTGGATATATTGAAGGGGACATCAAAATTTCGGGCTACCCCAAGAAGCAAGAAACCTTTGCCCGGATTTCTGGATACTGTGAGCAAAATGACATCCACTCCCCTCATGTTACTGTCTATGAGTCATTGCTTTACTCAGCATGGCTTCGTTTGCCACCTGAAGTCGAGTCTGAAACCAGAAAGGTTAGAATGATAATATCTAAAACCAGAATCTGTTTCAGGGTTGATGTTTAGTGAACAACACAAATTAAGTCAAAGTTTAGCTTATTCATCTTTTCTAATATTAATGAACTTGAGGATATATTCTTATGGCTTAGCTTTTGCTCAGGTAATAATTAAGACTTCTAGACAATTATATAAATTATTAGGGAACATCAAAGACTTCTGGTATTCAAAGACTTTGTTCATAATTGCTAAACTAAACTACATTGAATAATCTTATACACACTGTATGTAATGATCAGTGAAGGTTTAATCATGTAATAAACCAAACCAAGAAATATTAAAAAAAAAATACAGAAAAAAAAGGAGAGGAAAGAGAATTAGGCTTTGATAAACAGTCTAGCTATAATCTGAACAATTTTTCTTAATTTGGTAAACAATCTAGTTATAATCCATTTGTCTCTAGTAATAAACTACCAATGAAGCTGTAAAAAAGTAACTTGACATACCTGGAAAGAGAGAATCAATGTTCTTATTTTGTTTTTCCTCTTAATTATTGATATACAAGTCAATCAGAGAGAGCTTAAAAGACAAACTTGAACCTAGAAAGACTACAGATATATAAGTGAAAAACCACTCTTACTTTTTCTTGTCAAATCCTTGCTTTTTAATTCAAACGACTGTTAGTTGCTTTTTTATAAAAAAAAAATAATGAAGATGTGCTTTACATACTTTTGGTCTGGAGAAAAAAAAATACTATTGAACATGCTCAATAGAAAGAAGCCTATCATAGAGATTATATGACAGGGGCCCCATATGAAGAAGTTTGACTTGATCACTTCAAGGGGCTTGCATATTTTTTGGCTATCATGATGTTGATTTGTAATTATGAAGTTCTTTTGCAGATGTTCATTGAGGAAGTGATGGAACTTGTGGAACTGACACGGTTGAGGCAAGCGCTTGTTGGGTTGCCTGGTGTGAGTGGTCTCTCAACTGAGCAGCGCAAGAGGCTAACCATTGGAGTTGAGCTAGTAGCAAACCCCTCGATAATATTCATGGATGAGCCAACTTCAGGGTTAGATGCAAGAGCTGCTGCAATCGTCATGAGAACAGTTAGGAACACCGTGGATACTGGAAGAACAGTTGTTTGCACCATCCACCAGCCCAGCATTGACATATTTGAAGCTTTTGATGAGGTGAGAAATTTTAATGGGTGGAAGACTAGCTGTTTCTTTAGGTTCTCTCTTCTCATATATTTGAGATTGATGAATGTGAGTGTGAATGCAGCTACTCCTACTGAAGCGCGGAGGAGAAGAAATATTTGTTGGGCCATTGGGTCACCATTCTTGCCATCTAATCAAGTATTTTGAGGTAGGGTGTGTCACGGATCACAGAGACATCCAACACTGAATACTTTAAATTCTTCCTTCCCTCCTATGTCATGGTTGCTGTATATTAACATGACTTTCTTTAATCAAGGGAATTGAAGGAGTAAGTAAAATAAAAGATGGTTATAACCCAGCAACTTGGATGTTGGAACTTACAACCTCAGCAGAAGAACTAGCTTTGGGGATTGATTTTGCCCAAGTTTACAAAAATTCAAAACTATTCAGGTCTGTTAGTTGATGTCACTGGTACATTGCAAACACAGTTCACTGCCTTTTCGATAGCAAAATGCTGAAACCTCCTTAACATGTTTATGTATCATAAATTAGTTGCTGAAACTTTTGCTTGGCATAATATGTTTCAGGACAAACAAGAAACTTGTTAAAGACTTTAGCAAACCTGCACCTTCTTCAAAGGACCTCCATTTTCCCACTCAATATTCGCAATCATTTCTCACCCAATCCATGGTTTGCTTATGGAAACAACATTGGTCCTATTGGCGCAACCCGTTATACACTGCAGTAAGACTTCTCTTTACAACTTTCATGGCGTTGCTGTTGGGGACAATGTTCTGGAACCTCGGCTCCCAAATGTAAGTTGGTACAAGGAAACAAAGAAATTAGTTTGGGGAAATCATTAGATTATATTGTTTTTGTGTTTTCTCATTTTTCGTGTATTCAAATTCACTGTGTCTTATGAGATGCAGGAAAAGGCAACAAGATCTGTTCAATGCAATGGGCTCCATGTACATTGCTGTTTTCTTCCTTGGGGTCCAAAATGCTACATCAGTGCAGCCTGTAGTTGCTATTGAAAGAACAGTCTTCTACAGAGAAAAGGCTGCAGGGATGTATTCAGCCTTGGCATATGCATTGGCACAGGTGAAATGGATCTTATATTGTCAATTTTTCAATCACCAAATTTGGTTCTCTATATATGATAATTCAACTTCTATCTTGTCACAGGTTTTGATTGAGCTCCCATATATTTTAGTACAAACTGTGGTCTATGGAGTCATAATTTATAAGATGATCGGGTTTGAGTTGACTCTTGTCAAATTCTTTTGGTATCTATTCTTTATGTACTTCACATTGTTGTACTTCACATTTTCTGGTATGATGATTGTGGCTGTGTCACCAAATCATCACATTGCTTCTATTGTGACCTATGCATCTTATGGACTGTGGAACCTCTTTTCAGGATTCATTGTCCCACGACCGGTAAGTGTTGCTTAATTGTCATGTATTCGAATAAGTTTTCAGCATATTTTTACCAAATTACTACAATTGTTCCTTTTGTCTTTTTCATTTTCCTACCGGCCAACAACAGAGGATTCCTATATGGTGGAGATGGTACTACTGGGCATGTCCTGTGGCTTGGACCTTGTATGGGTTGGTTGCTTCTCAGTTTGGAGACTTAAATGATACGATCGACAATGGACAGACAGTCAAACAATTTTTGGGTGATTACTTTGGTTTCAGACATGATTTTGTGGGAGTAGTTGCAGCAGGGCATGTAGGGTTTACAGTGCTCTTTGGATTCATCTTTTCCGTTTCGGTTATGGCGTTTAATTTCCAAACACGATAGATATTATTTTTCCTACTTGTATAGGAAAGTTTTAGAAACGCATCAAGTTGTAGTCCTTTACCAATTACATGTTCCATAAAACTGCTGAATATTGTCCATGCTAGTTGGAGGGAATGATTTTCCCCACGAGAATATTCGTCAAAGATTCCTTCGTCTTCTCCGCTTCTCTTTCTCCCTGCAAAACAGATCGGAGTAAAAGGACCACACCCGGGGGGTGTTGGCCAAAGGCCCTCCGATGCCTAAGTTAGGTAAGGTATTTCAAGGAAAACCGGGTGGCCGGAGCCGTGTGTGGTGGCCGGAGCCTTGTGTAAGGGAGAGAAAGAAAGTGGTGGCTAGGGTTTGTGAGAAATGATTTCTGCAGAGTTTCAGTAGGAATTTAGACGTACCTTCACCATTGTGTGTGGCTATGCTTTTATAATGGTCTCGGAGGCTAGGGTTTCAGAGGAATAATTCCGTAGATGGAAGGGAATTATTCCTCCCCTTTATGGAATTGATTTGATCAATTAGGGATTTGATTTATTAGGGTAAATCAAACCCCTAATTGTGGTAGGTATCAAATCAAATCCTATTTCAATTAGGTAACTCCTCATTTAATTGAGAATCGGGGTAGGAATTAGGAATCAATTCCCAACCCAATTAGGTAGTCTTCAATTTAATTGGGTAACCCCCAATTAAATTGAGTAACTCCCAATTAGGTGGGTTAATTCCCAATTAGGTCAAATAATCCCCAAATGGAATGAATTATTTGACCTAGGGTTTTGATTTAATTTGGTTACCACACTAGTCCCGTTATGCTCAGAGAATCAGTACACCAAGCTCAGTGGTTTAAGGTTTCCTAATTTTCATCAACCCCTAAGAAATTGGAAATGTTATGCAGTTTCAGCCAAGCCTAGAAATGCAAAAGCTCATCTATATTTGGACCAGCTTTGCTGGAGCCAGATGTACAAATCTGAAATTTGATTGGCAAGCATGATATTGGATTTTATGTCTAAAGTTCTTGGACAAGAACTTTTGAAGTCTGCATTTTAGTTAGTTCTTGTTTGGTTTTTTCTTTCTTGTGTTACACATTGAAATCATCCACAAACCTAGACAGATGTGAAAAAGTTAAAGCTAATATAAGACCTAGACCTACCCAAGAAAGAATATATATATATATGGTGACATCAGTACATATGATGTTACCAATCCACCCTTGTTATAACCATGTTTATGCTTTATGTCAAACTCTAATGTATTTATATTCAAGGGTGGAATCAGGAATTTTTCGGTGGGTAGGTTAGCTAAATTTTTTAGCTTAAGATCTAATGATTTTATAGCTCTATTGACTAATTTTCATCTGCATCGATATTGTCCTCAAGTTCTTTTTTAATGTAGACAATCATAGAATCTTCTAAAAACTCATTCTTGCAGTTTGAATCCGTTAAAATTTCTTGGCATCAACCGAATAACCTTCACAAATACAAAGTGCAAAAATATAAAAATAATTAAGTTTCATATATATATATTTATTTATTGGTGGTAAACACAAGAACTATAGAATTAGGTTAACATACTGTTCCGTTTTTGAAAGTCTCTTCCCACTTGTGAATTCCAATTACTTTATACATCTAGAATTTTTTGGGTTGAAGGACTTGCGAGGATTTTTATTGAGTCCAATGTTAAAAGCTTTCGCTTTTTTGGGGTAAAAAAAAGGATAATTCATTAAAAACTTCCAAAGAGGTTTAGAGAAGAATACAAATAAACTAAAATAAAAATAAAAATTTCCCTTATGATTTGTAGTTGATGTTGGCCATATAGGTTTTTTTTTCTTCTCAAAAACCTTTTGCCAAAGGCGATTTAAAAAAAAGACAGCAGACTTTGCTAGTGAGCCAAACTTGTTGTGATGGGCCATATGGATATAGGTTTATTATCATTTTTTTCTTCAAAACTTACCTAGACTATAGCCCACCACAACCTTTGTTTATATTCACAGCTAACAATAGCAGCAGATCCAGGATTCGAAAGCCAGCCATGTGAAATTTACATTGAAAACTCGACGGTATTAGTGAATTCCATTAATAAACATAGAAAAATACACCTAGTTAATAAACGCAATAAACATTACCATCAAATGCATCTTTATGCATAAATAAAAGCTTATGAAAAATAAAACAAAAAACAAGAAGTAAATGCAATGCAACGCAAAAATAATAGCATAAGCTTACCCACAAATATTAATATATCATCAACATATAACCAAAATTCATACTATACAACTCATTTTCAAATCCTAAAAATTAATAATAAGAAGACTAAAAACCCAATTCATAGAGAGAGAGAGAGAGAGAGAGAGAGAGAGAGAGAGAGAGAGAGAGAGAGAGAGAGAGAGAGAGAGAGAGAGAGAGAGAGAGAGAGAGAGAGAGATATATAATAATGAGGGCCTTATATATGACCCTTAGGTGAGGTCTTATCTCTTATTCGTTGGATCAAATTGGTTAGCCTAATCCAGTGATTAAGAGATAGGACCTTACCTAAGAGCTATATAAGACCTCACTATAGAATGACTCAAAGAGAGAAAATTCATAAAACGGGATTGGCTGCCCGGCCTGCCCTCCACGTAGGCCCGCCCATGGCTGACAAGTGCTGCAATAACTCGAAATAATCCAGAAGCCATGTGATTAACAAGTAAAGAATCAAAGGTCAACCTGCAGATGCATGACATAATCACCTATTCACATATGACATCGTAGGTGACGGAATATGACATAGTTGGTGACGGAATATGACATATTGCAACTTCCATGGATGAGATGGGCTTGAGGAACAATCCAGGAAGTGAAAATGCTAGCCAGCCAGGGAAGAACATGAAGCCCTTTGCATGTGAAACCAGGAAGCTTGACAAATGATGATCAAACAGGGCTCTGCCATTCATCTAAACATGAACAAGGCAACGTTGAAAAATAGAAAAAATGACTATCCATTGAATCTCGGTCCAGTAGAAAGTCTCAAGTTTGAATTCCCCTCGCACTTTGGTTAAAATAAAAAGTTACTAGAAAATAAGGCATGTTTAGGAATGCTTTGAAGGAAGCATTTTTTTCGTGAAGCCTCGAGTGAATTTACTTTTTAGTAAATTTGGCTTACACCCTTTAAATTCAATTTGTCATACCTAAAACCCTTCACTTTTTGTTCCTATAAATAATACCCAATTTGTATAAGTAAAAACCCATGACTAGGATCCAACTCAGCAAGTTACCTAATTAAGCATAAAATCTGATTTATTGTACTTTTCAGATTCCAAAAATACCCCCAACTAAGCCATTATTGCATTTTGTATATTAATGTAGGAATCAATATGGAAACAGCTTTTAATTGGATTGTATATAATGACAGATGTTGAATTTGGAAA